GGTAGTGCTTAATTCACTGATTGTGGACATTGAGCATAATCGTTTGGTGCTCCGACGATCCGACATGGTTGCTAGGGTTGCGTGGGAAACAAGAGAACTAAAAAAACCCCCAAAAATGGAAATTAGCACGCAATACACATAAAATCTAGCAAATATGCAACAATTATCATGGGATTTGCAAGAAATTGAACCAAAAAGGATGAGAAGGAATGGAAATTGTACATGTGATACTTGCATTCGCCGAGAAGCAGAGAAATGGAGAGCAGAGGAAAAAAACGAGGAAGGAGGCGAAGGGATGATTTATATACCTGTAGTGAATATGATTGATCCAACAGCAAGGATCGATCCACCGTAGAAAATGTACCTGGATCATCCACCGAAGAGTTACTTGAATATTCTTCGGTTTGGGTAATCGATCCATATGTTGGGATCATTCCCCTCTCTTCCAGTTTTTAAAAAATGCCCTGAAACAATTAAAAAATACCCTGTAAAAATGAATTATTGCACCTCTGGTGCTCAAATTAGTTTTGTCAATAAAAAGAATGAATTAGTTCATAGAGATATCCAAAATGCCAAGTTCGTTCCGAATGTGGAAGGAACTCTCCCTACTAAGGGGTTTCATGAAAATGTCCGTCAATTGATGTTTTGTTTCAACAAACTCAATTGTGACATATTCCTTTTGGACATGATCTCATATGAAGTGATGCCTAATTTCTATGTGTTTAGTCCGCGAGTGAAGAACGAGGTTCTTCGTTAGACTAATAGCACTCATATTGTCACACCTAATTGGGATGTGATCATGTATAAGGCCGAAATCCACTAGTTCCTATTTTAGGCAAAGAATTTGGGCATAACAACTTTCCACAACGACATATTCCGCTTCAGTGGTGGAAAGTGCAACACTAACCTACTTCTTGCTAAACCATGAGATTAAGGAATGACCGAATAAGTGGCAAGTACCGTTGGTACTTTTCCTATCGAGTTTGCAACCTGCAAAATCTGAGTCGGAGTAGCCAACAAGATGACATGTCGAACCTTTGAGATTCCAAAGACCTACGTTCAACGTGCTAGCGAGATATCGCATTATCCTTTTGATCGCAACCAAGTGCTACTCTTTAGGACATGATTGATACCTAGCGCATATACAAATGGAGTACATGATATCCGGTCTACTCGCGGTAAGGTAAAGTAAAGAGCCGATCATACCTCGGTAGTGCTTGATGTCTACCTCTTTACCTTTTTCGTCCTTGTTGAGATAGCAATAGGTACTCATTGGTGTGTCAATGGATTTGGATTCGGTAACGTCAAATCTCTTAATCAACTCCCTACAATATTTCGTTTGACACACAAATGTTCCTTCTTTGCATTGTCTAATTTGCAGCCCTAGGAAGAATTTTAATTCTCCCATCATTGACACTTCAAATTCACTTTGCATCATATTGGAAAAATCCCTATAATAAACTTCGTTAGTAGCACCGAATATGCTATCATCTACGTAAACTTGAACCAAAAGGATGTCTTGGTTATCTTTCTTGATGAAAAGAGTAGTGTCGACTTGAACCCGTTTGAACTCATGGTCCTAAAGGAATTTTCTTAAGCGTTCTCCACTCTTTAGGAAGCTCCATTTGCTCCTGCGTTTTCTCTTCTTCCGGTTCCTTTTCTTTAATGGTTTCTTCATCATCATCATAGGAACTTGCAACATTATCAACAATACCTTTTCTCGTCAAGCGATCATCAAATTCTTTGAAAACAACATGAATGGACTCCTCTACGGTCTTAGTACGCTTGTTGAACACTCTATATGCCTTACTACGCAGAGAATAACCTAAGAAAGTTCCTTCATCCGACTTAGCATCGAATTTCCCCAAGTTATCTTTTCCATTATTTTGAATAAAAACTTTACACCCAATGACATGAAAATAGGAAAGGTTAGGTTTTCTTCCTTTGTAAAGTTCATAGGGCGTTTTCTTGAGTATCGGTCTAATCACGGCTCGATTTAACACGTAGCACGCAATACTCACGGCATTCGCCCAAAAATATTTAGGAAGGTTGGTGGGCCCAAAGTGGTGAGATACAAAGTCTAGAGGGGAGTGAATAGACTTTGTTACAACTTTAAAAACTTTTTCGTTTCTTTTGAAAACATGAAAATGAGTGTTTATTCTAGACTTCTTGTGAACTTTAGATTGTGTGCGGAAGTTGGTGGGTAATTGAGCAGTAATCGATATGAATGACTTTGTTTTCATAGTTAATATAATTGCAAGTATGAGTAAAGATAGAAGAGAGAGACACACACAAACTTTAACGAGGTTCGAAGGTGGGGTAATCCTTTTACGTCCTCAAAATCCACTATGTAGTTGGTTGTTGAATAATGAACCAACAATTACACTTGTGTGAATTTTTGCAAGGTATATCTTCGCAAGGCCAATGTTGCTACTGCACTTGTGCTGGCTTTGTTTTTTCTTCGAAGGTCAAGCTTCTTCAACAACTGCAAGATCCGAACAATAGGACTTGCAAGATCAACTTGTAAGAAAGTTGATGTACCCCCTTTTTAATCAAGAAGTTTGATTAAAAGTTGTATCCTTCAAAGTGGTGTGGTACTTGAGGCAAGGAAACCTTCAAGTGTTTGCACTATAGCTCTTTGGAAGGAGGAGAAGTTTGCTTCTGGATAAGGAGTTTAGAAATCTCTCTTTATCAAGCTTTTTGAACTAAGTGTGAATGAGATAGCTTTTGATGTAGTTTTCTCCGTTGTGTGTATTTCGTGCTTTTTATCTCATCGTGCTTTCTCCAGTCTTCCATGGTTGCTATTTATAGCTGGATTAGATAATCTATTCGTTGAATCAAAATAGACTATCCGTTGCATGTGCTGGCTTCAATTTTGAATGAAGATTGTAATTGAGGATTCCTCATTGGAATAGGTGTTTGGACATACCCAATTGTTTGAGGAGGGATTCCTTTTTCCACAGAATACGTCTTCTAGCTGTTGTTCAAGAACTCTGGACTGTAGCTCTTTACTCTGTTTGTCTTCTAGTGCTTGTTTAGGAATTCTTGACGAGCTCTTTAATTTGAGGGGTCCAGACTTTGTCTTCCAGTCATTTGTTCTTGGATCAGCTTAATTATCTTCAATCTAGCTGTTGAAAATCAAGAGGTTGATTTTTCCTTACCAACGGGTAGAATTTCTTCATTCAAGACTTAGATAATTTTCTAAGTCTTTTCTCACTTGTCTGCTTCTGAGAATTCCGGTCTTTCTTGAGGCATCCGGTTCTTTCGCTGACAAATCCGGAAGAGTCATTCACAGACTTCCGGGTGAGAAAGAGATCCGCGCTAGTCTTCCGATTTGGATGACTTAGCCTTCAGAGAGTTGTCGCGAGACATCCGGTTATCATGTAGAGTTCCGGATTAGAGGATCTTCAATTGCTTTGAGAAATCCTTACTTGTCTCTGACATTTCCGTGTTAGAATAAGAGACCAACGCTAGAGGGGGGGTGAATAGCATTTGATCGTAGAAATCGCAGGAATTAAAAATTCAAGAGAGAAGTAAAGAAAAGAGTAAGAAGCACACCGAATTTTACCCTGGTTCACCACAACTTGTGGCTAATCCAGCCTCCCGAGAGACTCTCTCGAGCTACACTACTATCTCGTTAAGCTTGCGGGTGCTTAACAAACTGTTACAACTTGAGAGTTCGAGTCACACGAACCTCAACGAATCCTTCAAAGGAAACAGCCCTTCCTTTGAATCTACCGAGAGAAGTACCTTCTCTCAAAGTGTCTAAGAACACAAATACACTCAAGAACGATACTCTCTTATAGAGTAGATTATGAGTAAACTAAGTACGCTCAAGAACAACTCAACCTTCACACAAAATGGCTCTAGCAAGCTATGGAAAATAATGATATTTGAATGCAATGAAAGTATGAATGTTGTGAAGTGAATTTGGTAAGAAAAGCAGACCCAAACACCTCTTTTTATAGTGCCAAAAAAGGCTCCAACGGACCAATGCATTAAAGGGGTGATTGGCTTGATTTAAGGGATTGAATAAATTTGGGATCTGCAGGATATTGGCTTCCCAGCGATGTATGGACATTACCCATCGCTGGTAGACCAATTTTCCTTCAGTTTTGAAGCCAACGGTTACCTACCCATCGATGGGTACAAGCTTCCCATCGCTGGGTGGGAGGTTGACTTCCAAATAAGGAAAGAATCAACCTTAAATGACTTCCAACGGTCATGCCTTCCCATCGATGGTTTAGCCTTCCCATCGCTGGGTTCCCATCGATGGTTAAAGCTTCCCATCGCTGGGTAAGGGCATTCT